GAGTAAACAATAAATACCTATGTACAAATAGTACGAACGAACTAGGTGTAAAAAAAATTACACCGGAAGAACGACTGTCAGGTGTACTTACGTCCTACATATTATTATAATTAAGACAAAATTCTTCAATTAATTATTATAATTGCATCGGCTTTACAATGTCAGAGTAATAATATAATATTATTGAATGTAGTATTGAGCGTGTACCTACTATTGCGGAATTGTGGAAAAAAATTATATCACTAAAAAAAAACCCCAGCAGTATTATGCTGGTGATTGATTAAATATAAATAATTTATTTTACAAGTTATACTCGTATATTAGAAATAAAATAAATATTGTATACCATGTGAAATATATAATATTATAGGGTATCTATTATTATAAGACAATTTTTAACATACTATATAAAATTTAATTTTCTATTATTATTATTATTACCCTATAGGTATTGGCTGACTAGGTTTTATAATCATATATGTAAAATTATACAACCATAACTTTATATATTATTTACATTTTAATTTATGTACAATAATTATTTATTATTATAAGCTTTGGTATCGCAGCATACATTTGTGTGTATATTAAGTAATATTTTTAAGATATACCTAAGACAATTTTTTTATAAAATTACAATTTTTACATAGTAGGTACAGAATATTTTGTTTTATTTCTCATATATAGAATCTGTAAAATAAATTAGTTATACTTAGTCAATCCCCAGTTTAATGCTACTGAAATTTTTTTCCAACTTCTATCTATACCTACCAATAACTGATAGATTACTTACATATTATGTATTATAAAATGTACGATATCATGGTATTACTGATAAAATCTAACTGTCACTTGATTGTCAAAGTCTAATCGTACAGGTCCTTTGCAAACGTTAAGTTTATTGGAAGCAGCTATATACGCACAAATGTACAATATATCATCGTATATAATATATTATTATGTGTAAAGGAACGCGAATCACGTCCACGTAGATTTTTCTTCCACACGTCAGTACCGCGAAAAAAAAATAAACCCCGTTTGATCATTACGGCGGCGGCGCATAGGTACTCTTTATATATATCCACGTCTAATATATAATATCGTCGTCGATTTATCACGCGTTTTACGCCCGTCGATCGTAAATCACGCAACTCGATTTTTTCATGTCGATAAAAATTATATTATTTATATATATATACATGGGTACGTTTACGAATGAGTGTGTCTATTATAATACTATTACCTATAATATATAATAATATAATATATCGTACAGAGTTAACATAATATAAACTACAGTATGGTGAGTCGATGTGCAGATTTTCGGTGAGCCGGTTTCGTCTTTGCCGGTCGTCATCGTCGGCGAAATGCAAAAAAAGGCACAACCCGCGGGTTTGCACACCGTCGAGGACGCGATAAAATATAGGTAATAATAATGTGCTCTAAGACGTACTATAATAATAATACGTATTAAGAGCTCGCGAACCCTCCTAGTTGTAATATTGTAATAATAATATATTTTATATTGCACCATTTACCTGGACTGTTAATATCATTATAATACGATGTGTGTACTTCACGCACGTATTATACGACGACCACGACTAGAGACGTGCACAACTCACTAGCGTTTCTTTTTTTTGCTTCGTCCATCGCGTTTTTTTTATCGTCCGACCGCACGCCACCGGACTATAAATCTACGACGAATTTCGCACCTCAACGTGATAATTACACCCCAGACGGCGGCGAACTGTATATATTATTATAATTATACTTTATTTTATGTATCGTCGGCACACAATTAAATTTCACGACCGTACACGAGTGTTATAATGTATTATAAATTATAATATTATATCAAGATACGCTCCGTACAGCTCCCAGTATTGGCTGGCTATAGGTGCGATAATAAACGACTGGGATGTTTCGTACCTGCCTATAATTTAAACGACGTACGACGACTGGAGCGCAAATTACACGTTTTAAAAAGCAAAAAAAAATAAAATGCTCGTGTACATATTAAGTATATTATATTATATTAATGGTATCCGAGCATAGGTAATCGTTGACGTGCCTAAATAACGAGACGAAAAGTTATATTATCAAACGATTATTATACATCATAATAATATATACCTATAGTAATATATATTATATACCTATAGTATAATATTTATTATATTATTATGAATACCTAGTGTACCTATAATACGGTACTAAAGCGCTCTCAAACGGTGCTGCACAACCGCAACAATCCACCATTATCATACGTCATAAGTACCTGTAAAACTTGGGATGTATTATTATTTTATTATATTATTATACCCCCGATCGTCACCGTATTAGATTTCCAAATGGGTTTTGTGTTTCATCGTACCTATGTTTTTTCTTTCGCCGTCGCGCGTTATCGTATATTATATTCTATGCTCAATCAATAGAGTCTTCCTAATAATATTATAAAATACACCCTACATGTAAACGGTTTTAATATTATATAACATTGTACGCGGACACCTGTCGTGATTAAATTTAATGACAAATGAATATCGTTGGCGACGGTGTGCTATAGATTCACAGGCGAATGACTAATCTATAAATTATTAAAATATGGTATGACGTATAAATAATGCGCGTATATACGGGTGGCAATTATTTTTTACGACTATTTTTTCCCTCTCCCTTCAGCGATTGGCTAAACTTAAAAATATTACATTTTGTAGGAATATGACGAAGTAATTAATAAAACGCGGCGGCACTTAAACGGATAGTAAATAAAAAAAAGTATATTATAATAATTTATAATATAGGTAATAAATATGTCTATTCATTATACTCACACAGTTATAATACAATAAATTATATATAACAAGCTCTCGAGCTTGAAAGTACCTATATATAATATAAGTCATAAGATTTTACGAGGTATTTTAGGATATTGGAGGTCATTGCATAGTATACGCTAGCTATCTTCTACACAATAATATGACGTTACATTAAAATAACCATCTAGTGGAACAATATAAGTTACATTTCCTTTGATTTCTCTTGTGTTGGATGAGGTTTTGCTTAGATAATAATTAAATTTTATTCGATCATTCGACTGGAAAACGTAAAATTTCTAAGATATTTACTCGGTATTCACCCTGAAAAAAATATATATGGTCATTGTTATCTGTATTATAGTGTATGTTAATATAAGGTATTAGGTCTTATAACCTAACCTAGATATTAGAGAGCATTGCACAGGTAGAGGCAGCCAGTGGCTTGGCTTGGAAAAGGTATTTGCTGCGGTGGTTGCCCACGACGCGAGGAATGCCTTTTACTCGGCGTCTAGGCTACTCATTGATGCAGCACTTCAACGACTAGGGTTCTCGGGATATCTAGTTCAATTTCTGCGGTCTTATCTAAGTGGCCAAACTCTACTGGTAGACGTCGATGGAGTTCCCGTCAGGATTGAATTATCGTGTGATGTCTCGCAGGGTTCTGTCATTGGACCTTGCTTGTGCAAAATTTTCTACGACGATCTCCTGCAACTGGAGTTCCAAGACGAAATGAGGCTGGTTGATTTTGCTGACGACATTGCGCTGGTCATCTCGGCACCTAATGCAGACCTCAGAGAACATTGGCAATCTGGTACTGGAACTGGTCAACTAATTGATGCAAGAGAACGGTTTGCTGGCGGCGCTGCAGAAATCTGAAGCGGCAGTCCTGACCAAGAAAAAGGCGTATCGAAACCTTATATTCGCCTTGATCGGGCAGCACATTCCAGTGAACTCCTCGTTAGTTACCTTGAGGTCCAGTCACAGATGAGGGTGAACTTTAGTGCTCGTGTCAGATTGGTTTCTGCTATGGTGTCCGCTCTTGGAAGGTTGATGCCTAACGCCCAGGTACCTTCAGTATGTAGGAGGCGTCTGCTTATTGTCGTGGTTGGTAGCTCACAGCAAACTTCTGTACGCATCCCCAGTCTGGTCACTGACGGCCTGGAATAAAACAATCTTTAGCCAGGTCCAAAAAGGGGCCGTTATACAGGTTGCGGGGTGTTAAAGGACTAGCTGTGTCCGATATGGCTGCTCTGGTCCTGGCAAGAATCCTACCTATACTTCACCTTCTGGCTGAAGAGCTGTGCAGAATCGAGGAGCGCAAGCGAGAAGACACGACGGCAGCAGTTATCAAAATGCAGGAGCGCGAGGTGATATGTGGACGCTGAAGTTGATTCCGAATATCCGTAGGTGGTTGAACCAGTCAAGGCTAGGAAATGTAACATTTCACGTGGCTCAAGTACTGTCAGGACATGGATGCTACCAGCTCTACCTGTAGAAAAGGAGGAAGGGGCTAATCCCTGCTGCATCCACTGCGAGGAGCTGGAAGACTCAGTGGAACATACGCTGTTCAATTTTCCGTACTGGATGGAGAGTAGGCTTGAGATGGAGAAGTGCGTTTTTCTGCGACTGCAGCCTGGGGATGTCTAGGATATCATTCTGGGGCTGGAGCAGGAGCTCCTCCCAGATAATATGTCGATAGGAGGTGGTGGATGGAGGCTTCAGCGGAGAAGCAGAGGCTAGCGTTTGGCAGGATAGTGGAGACGGTACGCTGGAAAAAGGAGGCTAGAGAGAGCATCAGGCAAGCAAGAAGTGGATGGGTAGGGTAAAAATCTTATTATTCTGTGGGCCGAAGGCCAGCTTTTCTGAGTGGTTAGAGGCCTCCACCTATGTGAAACTTATATTATGTTTTTTGAATAAACGATACGGCAACGGGTGGCAGTATTGTGATAATAAGTTTCCACCCGTTCCTGGTTTTCAAACGGGGGAAAAAAAGGCTTTAGAGAACATTATTTTGTTACATTGTGATGTTTGCTATATTTACACATAAATACCTACTTAGGTAGGTACCTACTTTCAATCTGTAATTGTGGCAGAAATAAATTTTACTTGTATCTGAACTAACAAAAATTACATAAACAATACAAATAAAAAAATAAACTTATGTGAAGTTGTGTTTCTCACTAGTATCTATAGTACATGATATGTTGTATAAATATAAACCATTATAGTTTTATTGTGATTTGATGTTTAATCAGTTTCCCAAGGTCGCTTCACCTCTAAAATATAAGTTACACATCCATGGACTATTTTGTTTTTGGTGAATTGAAAACGTAGTTTGTATGTCCCATAAAAAAATTGCTTAGGTAAATTTGAATACAATTCATCGTTATTCTTCATGCCAGATGAAACGTAACATCCCTACAAGTATAAAGCATTTTTTTTTTTTTTGAATTACAAATCATTTATATACTGTGGAGACTAATCAGTAATTGTAATTAAAATTACCAATTTAATCGTTAAATTAAAGAAAAAGGTGTATAATATTTTGAACAAAAAAGGCACTAATGTAAAAATATTAGAGACTATCACTAAGGCTCAGTTTTAAGAACAACTTTGGTTCGATTGGTCATCTTAAGTAATTCAATCAAAAATATGTTGGTATTTAGATCTTAATGAGTGTTATACAATACATACTACATAGGTATGTTATATAATCATAATTTAAAATATAATAATGTTTATATTATTTTTATTTATATAATACTTATCTTTACCACGGGAATAGGACAACCACGTATATTGTGCATTCCTAAGTTGTCCAATACTCTATTATAAATATTTCCCAGCACATTCTTGAGAGATGAGCAAGCTTTAGGTGACTTAAAAATATGAGCATTATCCTTCCAACCACCAACAGAATCTTTTACCGCCATATTGATTTCAACCTATAGCGAAAACAATTTGCATATTTTGACCAAAACCGTATCCACCATCATAAAACGATAAAATTCAATAATTATTTTCAGAAGTCAATATGTATTTGATAATCAACTTATGATGTGAACCAGGTGTATAAAATCCCTAATTTCTTATGTGTTCAACCATAAATCTATAGTGTATTATATTGCAGACAATTTAATAATTATAATAACTAACTAAATTTACTTCAATAGAAAATATACAATTTAATAATAACAATAACATAGCTATACTTACATTAAAAGAGTCATCAAGGGGCACAAGATTGGTGAAGTTTCCTTTTATTTCTGTGGTGTTTGTAGACGTTTTGCTTAGGTAATAATTAATCTTAATTAAGTTATTCACCTGGCTTAATTCACAACGTAGAATTGCTAACGGTTTTAATCGGTACTCACCCTGAGGAAAAATATAAAATCGTTATAAGCTGTAACATAATATTACGTACACGGTACACGCAATTAGAAGTCATTCTTTCGTTACAATGTGGTGGTTGCTATATATTGGTACATATACTTAATTAGGTGCTCACAATCGGTAATTGTGGTAGAAGTAAACGTTTAGTTGTATCCGAATTAACAACATTTACAAAAACAATTAAAATGATTAGTAAACACTTCATGGTTGGCTTAAAATATAAAACAAACATACGAATCCTCAACGCAGTTTCTTGTTCTACTGTTTTCATCAAATGAATTTTTTTACAATAGTAGGTACCTAATCACTTTTAATTTTTAATGCAATCATGTATATGTATTTTATTATTTATTGATCTTACTTACACTATTGTTGCATTAGATACCTATAACAAGGAAGATCATATAGATAATAGATGTATATTTTGTATAGATTACATTATGTTTATTATATTATCACCGATTTAATTATATCCGTGACATGAATAATAAAAAAAAAACCCAACTGCTGTGTAAAATTGTGAAAATATTAAATCTGCATAATTTTTGACCGTAGAGGGTTAGGATACCGTATAAGCATGAGAGACGTTATATCAGTATTATGTAGAGGGTGTTATGTTTAGTGGCCAATGTTTACTTGTTTCTTAACTACCTCAAATTGGTGAAGTATAAGTTTATATTATATAATTATTCTATCTATAATACCAGTAATGCGTAATACTCCATACTTGTACTTAAATATTATGATTTATGACGTAGGCCTGAATACAATAAAATATATTATATACATTTTATTTAATCTGTATTTTTATAATAAATAAAAATAATATGTAATAGGTATCTACTACTGATAACTATTAATTTAATAAATAATAATAATAATAATAATAATAATAATATACTTAGGTAGGTAATTGATTTAATTGATGGATATAGTTGAATGGGAGTTAGTGTGATATATAAATAGTTTATACGTACTTAAAAATATTCATAAATTAGGAGACAAATATTTCTAGTACTGCTGTATCCCAACTTTAAGGTTAATTTTTCAATCGGTTATTTCTATTTCACTACATTACGAAATTTAAACTGGGAGTCGGATATTGTCTATTTTTCATTAATATATAGACATTATGCGTCTGAGAAGAAATTTCTCACAAAAGTTTTGAGAAAAATATTAGTAAGCTGATGGGGTGGTATGAGGGGGGACTTGAGGGCTTGGGAAGAGAAGGGGTATATAAGATTATGATGCTGAGGATTGTATTTGAGTAGGTAGTCAAGTTGTCGACCTTATTTTCTATGTCTTTGGAGATTTTTAGTTTGGCTTTTAAATTGAATTGCTTTTGTATTGATTGTTTTGATTTTGTTTGAAAAACAGTAAAAAAAAGTCCGTTTTATTTTGATTGAAGAATGTCAATTCGAAAAAAATATTCCGGTTTTTGTTTTAATATATAGACATAAACCTTTTTTTTTAATTGTTTATGGTATCAACTACGAGGTTATTAGCCGGAGGTACTGTAGGGTTTGGAACTGTAGGGTTTTTGGAACTGTAGGGTTTGGAACACGTGTGTGAGACATAAACCTATACATTTAATTTTTCCAAATACTATACATTAAGACGTGAAAACGACATAATTTTCTTGTTGCAGATTTGCAAAAATAACTAAAAGTTCAGAATGATGAATAGCTGAGTACTTTAAAGTCAGTGTAATTATTTTTGGTGATAAATATAAAATCAAATAATTGTTTTTTTCATTTTGATAAAAATATAAGAAGAGCATCTTTGTTGAAAAACAAATATATTTAATTAAATGGGTACTTTTAATGAAAAGCTAAGATTTATTAAGTATTGTTTGACCCATTGTAATATGGATAAACTGTAATTACCCTAATGTAATATGAAAAATATTTCATTTCGCATTAAGTCTTAATCAATAAGTTAAAGTAGACTAAAAAATTTAAACAAAATGCATCAAAATAAAAACTAACCAAAGTCGGTTTGTCAGCGGTGATTGTTCGATACAGTCACAGCCTATTGAAAAAAACAATATTAAAGTATTATACATGTCCTACCTTCCTATTTTAAGTGTGTGTGTTTATGGATGTACTTCAAAATCGATTGGCATAAATGACGAAATACACAAATATGCTTGCAAATTACATGTGAGCCCGTTAGCTAGTAAAATAACAAAATAAATTATAACCAAACGAACAACAACACAATTTATTGTTCTACTGTCATTCAGAGTAAAATAATTGTTGGTTTTAATATAGTGCCCAATCTATTTTGGTTTATAATATTATAATGTGTATGTATATATTATTATTATTTATTGACCTCGCTTTCACCATTGTTTCTGTATACACCTATAACATGCAATATCATATAGATAAAATGATTATAGATATTATACTCAATATTATTGACATTAATTACTAACTATACACTAATTTGTATTGATGATAATAGGTTGGATTTGTTAGTTGATAGTTATGATTCTTGATTTTTGGAGACTAAAGTGGACTAGTACACTAAAGTATTCTTTCCCTCCTGATGTAATGATGCGAGCATGATATATTAAATAATAGATGCCGAAATTCCAGATGGTTGGATAATTGTCATGTTTGAAATACTTGAACTTCATACATTTCAATTTCCTGTTTCAATTCGATCTACTTATCGTTACGTTCAATTGCTAAGTCTGAAGAACTTTCAACATCAACCATTTAAAAGGGAATAAAATATTTGTTTATTCTACTGTAGGCAAACACAAATAACATTAAATAGCATTATTAATACGGCTGAGAACTTGAAGTTTTTCATATGCGCTCTTAATTTAGAATATTTAATTTCACATTTTGACATATTTATCACATTGCATATACTTGAGTTGAGACTTGAGCCATGGTTGATGAATTGAAAATGAAATGTATATGTTCCATAAAAAATTGCTTGTTTAAATTGGAATACAAGTCATTATCGTGCTTCATGCCAGGAGCTAATGCAATGTTTATATTATTTTTAATTGTACAACACTTCTATGAAACGGAAATAGGACAATTTATTTTGGGTATTCCTAAACCCTCCGATATTGCAATCCAAGTATTTCTCAGCAACATTCTTGAGAGACGAGCAAGCTTTAGATGTCTGAAAAATATGAACATTTTCCTTCCAACCATCAATAAAATATTTTACCTAGGTATATTAATTTCAATCTGTTGTGAAAACAGTTAACACATTTTGACCAAAATCGGATCCACCAGCATAAAACGATAGAATTCAACACTCGTTGAATTATTTTTAGAAGTAAATGTATTTACTATTTAGTACTGATGTGAACTATGTAAAATCGTAAATTTAATATTTGTTCAGTAATTAATCTATATTGTATCAGAAAAAATATACGGTTTAATAATAAAACAAAAATATTTACATAAATGATGATTCCTTATACCTAACGCTAACGTTACCACGACCACGTTTACTGACAAAATGTATACCTATACACGTCTTAACATAAATATTATTTCGATCGCCGGAATACCGCGATTAAGTATCGCGCTATTTACCTTTTTGGCAACACTTTAAACGTCCATGCGTGATTCTGTGTTGGCGGGTTAAACTTTCAAGGGGGGGGGGGTTGCGAACAGTGAACCCTGCAATGACGTCTCGAATTCCGGTCAACTGACCGCTTGGGGGGGGGGGGGGTTGCAGTCGATTTTCAGACAGTTGCATACCGACGGAGATTATGTATAAGATATTTATTATAGGTTCACTGGGGTCGGGTACAAATCCGACGTGTTCGACCCCCCCCCGACAGTCTGTGTTTCTCACAATATATACACACTTATTGACGATTCGACTGATGCAACGTTGCGTTTTTCGGAGGATTCCGAATATAATAACCCCCCCGGATCAATAGGATTTCCACGGCCACCCGACCCGTGCCACTGCCAATCGTTCGTAATGGACCGAAAATATCTAATTTCACCGGTTTTCGTGATGTCCGAGCGGGCCAGCGGCGGCGACAAAGCCGATACTGTACCCGTACAATACGCGCGTGGTGCACAATAATATGGTATAAACACAATGCATGACGTATATACGTGTAGTGCACGTGTATAATAGTGGTGCACGCATAATATAATATTCGTATACATGTATATATATACACGCGAGTGCACGTTATAACAAACAGGTGTTGTGTCCCGGAGGATATTATTATATTCTGTTTTTTTCTTTCTTTCTTTTTTTCGGACGCATTATTATTCTTCTGGTGGGACAGAACCGTACGGGGCCAGATGAATGGAACCATATTGTACAATAAAATATATATATATATATATATACAAGTATAATATGTACGTATAATAGTCAGGGCGCTTGCGAACGGCAGTAGCGGTGGCGGACACGTCGTCGTCGTCGTCGTCGTATTCTTTCTCTCGGACGCCGTCGGATAGATTTAATTGAATTAAAATGCGAAATGCGCTCCTCCATTGAGTCGTGGGCGTCGGGGTCGAAACCACAATGCGGTCGGCCACTTCGCGGTGTACCTTTAATATATATATATATATGTATGTACGTATTATTATTCTATAGGTACCTATTCATCTTTCTCGAACGCGTTTATATATTATATAATGTTTTTCGGTTTTTCTCTCCATTCTCTTTGAAATCCGCTTAACCACAATAGAATAAACCCAGTGAGATATACGCGTATTATGTATAATATATAATATATATATATATTATATATATATATATATATATATATGTGTGTGTGTGTGTGTGTGTGTGTAGAGAGAGAGAGAGAGTGAGTGAGAGTGAGAGAGGTTCGTCTCCGCTACAGTCTGCCGAACTGATCTAACGTTTTTGCAGTCCAACTAAATAGGTACGAATGGTACGATGTAATGTTATGTTGTTCATCGAGCGTATTCGCCGAGACATTATGTATAATATTATTATGCGCAATAGTGCCTACCATTATTATAGTGTGTACAGTGTACACATACCCATCCATGTACATCTTGTCAGATTATATTCGTAGGGCGCATACCTGTATAGTATCTTTTCCCAATGGTTTTTTCACCCCTAAATTCTTAGTCTTTTAAGTAAAACGCTAATGCGTGGCACACACGCATATATGGTACAGCAGAGATCGAAGTGGGGGGGGGGGGGGTAAATACTATTCTTCCGTTCGTTTTGGTAGCCTTTTCCCATCCCTCT